TAGCAAGGATCAGAACCAAGACCAGAACCCAGGTGTCTTGGCACAAACACAAATTCTTAACTCTGCACAAAAACCTGAGCCAGGATGACCAGGATAAGAGCCTCACGGGCTCACTTCACTTACTCAGGATCTTCAGTGTTCTTCCCTGACGGACCTTGTACAGCATCCTACACAAGGAGATGCTCAGATAGCATTTGTTCAAGGGATTGATGCATCAGTGGATCCATCAATGGGCAGGAATTTAACAGGCAGACACTGATTGATGAGCAAAAATTCTTCGGTACCCTTGGTGGTATCAGTCTTCACCAGCCCTTCACTACTATTTAATATTTTTCCTCTACAAATATTCTATCCATTCATTTATTCGTTCAGCAATTGATTATTAGGCAACTACTATATGTAGGAAACTGTGTCACTAGCTTACAGAATTATAACAATAAGGTATTAGTCTTACCTTCAATATACTTATCATCTACTAAGAGAATGAGATTTGCATTTTAAAAATCGCTATAATTCTTGGCAGAATATGAGATGAAGGGAGGATAGACAGTGTTCAGAAGAGTCCAGAGGAGAGAGAAAAGGTATTTAGCTGAAAGAATAAAGGCAAGCTTCACGGAAATGTGGCATTTCGGCAGGGCCTTGAGTGACAGGAACAATTTCACAAGAAGGGATGGGGGAGGACATTTCAGGAGAAGCAAAACATTTTTTAAAAAGCACGAGGTGAAATTTTTCACAAAGGTGAGGATCTAAGAAATATTCAGTTTCCTTAGAGAAACACATTTTGGCTAAAACATGTTCCTTTTTGTTCCCACAGTCGCTTTTTCCAGTCTCTTTGCCTAAAGGGAGCTGGAGGGTGCTTTAGCCAAAAATCTCATCTGACTTGGGTAGGTGCTAGAACTCGGGCCCCAGTTCTGTAGAAATGTACTGTGAGGGCTGGTTTGTGAATGTCCTCTCTTTTAGGAACAAGGTAGAAGGTATTATTAGCCCTGTTTTAGAGCGAGTGTGAAACAAAGGTGCAGAGAGACTGGGAACTTTCTCAAGGTCACAGGATGAGTCAGCTGGAAAGAAACCCTAGAACAAGGGCTGCCCCTCTCCAAAGGAGCCCGCAGAGGCACGTCTGCGCCAGGGGACAACGTGTTCCTACCCAGAACCCCCGGCACCTTCAGTGCCTTTTCCTAGGAGTTCAGCATGCACAGCAGACATGATTTCATTCTCTCAGCACCCACTGAAGTCGGGTGAAGGCATCTTTACATTCTTTTCTCAAGTAGACAAACTAAAAGTTCCCAGGGTATCCTAAGTAGTTCATCTGCGAACAAGTAATATGTCAAAGTCACATTGATGATTGACTCAAGAGCAGTGCGCTTTTTGTCTCTTGTCTTGGGACCAAAGGCCAGCTAGAGAGGTGGTGGTTTGAAGGTTGAAATGTGGCATTTTAAGACCTGAGTTCTGATCCCAGCTCTGTCCCTCACCTGCTGTTTGATTCTGGGCAATCACTCAACCTCACTGAACCTGTTTCCTCATCCATAAATATATCTTTGCAGGGGCTTCCCTGGTGGTCAAAAAAAAAAAAAAATCCGCCTACCAATGCAGGGGACACGAATTCGAGCCCTGGTACGGGAGGATCCCACATGCCGTGGAGCAACTAAGCCCATGTGCCACAACTACTGAGCCCACATGCCGCAACTACTGAAGCCCGTGCCCCTAGAGCCCGTGCTTGGCAACAAGAGAAGCCACCGCAATGAGAAGCCCACGCACCGCAACGAAGAGTAGCCCCCGCTCACCACAACTAGAGAAAGCCTGTGTGCAGCAACGAAGACCCAATGCAGTCAAAAATAAGTAAATAAATTTATTTTAAAAAATAATTATATATATATATATATATATATATATTTGTATCTGTTCTCAGCATGTATTTTTTTCTTTGATCTGATGGGGTTTGCATTCTAATGCCTCCACATGTATTTTCAAATGCTAAGAAAAACAGCTGAGAGAAAACCCACAAATTCATCAAAAATGGTTACTTTGTAGTGAGGAGAATGAAACTGATCAGCTTCTATTTGTAGCCAATGTACTTCTATTTCACTTGGAATTGCTTGAAATGACCCAGGCAAACAAATAAAGGATAAAAATAACAGCAACCTTATAAATTACTGTTTAAAAAGTACCTAGCACAGTGATTGCCAAAGACCTCCTTCTCGACAAAAGTTAGTTTTACATTTAAAAATTAATCATTATGTCATGTGGCAAAAAGGAGGCGGAATCAAGGCAGGAAATCAAGGAACAAGAAGAGAATAACACAAAGTTTTTAATAAGAGCTAAATTCCTTGGAAGACAATGAATGGAGAAGAAAGAGCACAGGCCCTGGCTTTGAAAAAGAGACCTGGTTTTGAATCCAATCATGGCCACACACGCATTCTGAGCCGTGGGAGAAGTTCCAGCCTCTCTGGGCCTCAGTTTTCTTATCTGTAAATGGAAATAAAAATTCTCAGCTCATAGATTTACGGTGAGGATTACATGAGACAAATACATGAGGTGCTTTAGAAGGCACTGAAAGTTACATGTAGTGTGGGCCACAGAAATGAAAACACTGTACACACCCACAAACCTCCTGTTTTACCTGCTTCTGACAGGTGGAGTGTTCCTGTGGGTTATTATAGGACCGTATCATGAGGGAACATCTAAACTGTTTAAGCCGCAAATTATCCTTTTAGAAATATTTTGTGCTGTATCCTTGAAAGCTGCTATAAGGGTAAAGATTTAATGTTCTCATCATAACAGCAACAAAATGGCAATCGTGTGACGTAAAGGCTGTGTGAACTAGCCTGACTGCTGTAACCATTTCGCAATATATATGTGTATCAATATATGTGTGTATTATACACCTTAAACTTATGCAATAGTATGTGTCAATTATATCTCAATAAAGCTGGGGAAAAAAGTTTTAACAGAACTGAATTAGAGCCAAGAAAGCACCTTGAAAACCAGCCAAAGTGGTTTCCATCTTTCTGATATAGATGGGCTTTTCAAGACCACATATTGGCGGTCAGATGCTGACCTCGGGGATCCCCTGGTGCTTCCTGGACATACTGTGTTTAAGCTCCTGCAGCCTTTGGTAGCAGATGTGTTTAAAGAGCCATAAACTCAGCAACAATAGACAGAAACATACTTGCTTTCCTCCGGGCTTCTGGCTCGGAGTCAAATAATTTTTCCTGTGTAGGAATCTGACCTTCGTGCTCTGTTCTGTGTATCTGAAGGCTGTTTCTAGAGGAGACTCAAAATCGGGATGATTTTTTGTTCCCTTTGAATCAAAGCAGTCGGCTTTCTGTTTCTTCGCCTGTGAAATGAAGCAGCCTCCTTGTCACAATGGCATAAAATCGTGGCTTGTTGTGAGAGGTCAATGAGACACTCTACATGACAGTGCTTTGCAAACTGGAAACAGTAAACCATTCAGAAGAAAACACACGAGACAAGCTGAGGTCCCAAACACTACAAGCGCGGGATCAATTTTCTGGTCGAAGGAGAGACTTAATGAAAACTTTCCTAAAACTAAGGAAAAGAAGTATTTTTGCTTTTGAACTTTATGAATTTGTTTTGCCCCAAATCTCCCACTCCTTTTGTCCTTAATCTCAATTTTTGGCTTTCAGTTTTGGTTCAGTGCTTCTGCCTGTTTCTGTGGTTTAATCATCTCTCCCACCTTCCTCTTCTCTTTGCTCCCATGGGCATTTCCAGGCAGCACATGAGGTGGGAGAGCCGAATTTCTCAGAGAAAGCAGTGGTTGGTCCATCCAGCTCTCTTGTTAATTGCATCTCTTAATGATGCCACAAAGGACAACAACAATTTCCTAAGAACTCTTGTCTTCTCTGCTTCCTCTTCTTTTTTTTAAACATTTATTTACTTACTTACTTATTTGTTCACGCCGGGTCTTGGTTGCGGTGAGCAGGCTCCTTAGTTGTGGCATGCGAACTCTTAGTTGAGGCATGCCTGTGGGATCTAGTTCCCTGACCAGGGATCGAACCCGGGCCGCCTGCATTGGGAGTGCAGAGTCTTATCCACTGTGGCACCAGGGAGCGCCTTGTCTTCTCTTCTTTATTGAGGGCTTCCGTGTGCCAGACGCTGCACCCAGTGCTTTAACCCTACCCGTCTCCCTTACAATCCTCACAATAGTCCACTTTATTTCACAGATAAGGAAAGTAAGGGTCTAAGTAAGAAATTAAGTGACTTGTTCAAAGTCACACAGCTAATGAATGAAAGAGGTGGGATTCAACATCAGCTACATCTGACATCAAAGACTTTCGCCACTGGACCACACCACCTCCTAGCCTGCCAAAAGTTTTGTATGATCTGGAGCAAATCCGAGCCCACCACTGCCCACCCCACCTCCCACAGTCAGCAGGGCTGGCGTCCATCAAGCCTGGGACATCCACGTCTCTCTCTCGAAAACCCTGGCTGAATCTTGCCTGCCCTTCAAGACTTACAGGAGATGCCTGTGCTGAGACAACCTTGCCAGCATCCATCCCCAGGATGATTTCGAGACCCCACTCTAGGTTCCCATAGCCCTAACACTATGAATTTTTTTCTTTCTTTCTTTCTTTCTTTCTGGTCCCACTGCGGGGCACGTAGGATCTTAGTTCTCCGACCAGGGATGGAACCCATGCTCCCTGCGGTGGAAGTGTGGAGTCCTAACCTCTGGACCACCAGGGAAGTCCCCAATGAATTTTTGTATTTCAATTGTGGGTTTATTTGTGCTTCGCCCTCACAACTTGACCAGCAACCAAAGGGCAGTGTCTGAAACTTTTTGTGCTTAACCAGTGCTTAACCAGTGCCTGGCACTGGAATGTAGCTGGCCCTCTGTACTTGTCTGTTGAATGAATAAATGGATTAATATATAATGAATACATGAACAACAACAAAAGCTACAGCAAAGAACAAGCCAAAGCTGCTCCTTACTTCTTGTACCCTCATCCATATCGATGCGACCAACCAAGTAGCATGAAATCAATTCAGCAGAGATTTATTGAGCCGTAGGGCGGTGTAGCTGAGTGCTGGCACTTTGCATCAGAATATCTCAGAAGCGAGGACGCTGGGTACAGATTTCTTGTCTGTAAAAGAAGTATAATAATCATACTTTTATCACCAGATTACCATGGGGCCAAATCGCAGAATGGATACAAAAGCACTTTGGAAACTGAGGCGTGATATGCAAAAGTGGGTGGTCGTAATTTAATTGTTATTATTATGTACAAAGCACTGTGTCAGGTCCTGAAGGAGGACTTACAGAGGAGGAAACTACTGCCCACAGGACACCCACACATAATGAAGCACTCAAGGGACTATGAAACTAGGCAGAAAATAATGAAAGAAGTTCAAAGACCTCGAGGGGCTCAAAGGAGGGAGAAATCAGGGGTCAGGGGTTCAGACGGGCCATCATCTAAGGCTGTGGGATCTAAGGGAGGCTTAATAACAAGGTCCCCACTCTCAAGCCATTTATGGTCATACACATTGTCTGGTGGGACTGAAATGCACGGTGTTTGAACACAGACAGCTTTTCCAGTGTGTGGTCAGTGGAGGACATCAGAGATCTGGATCTTGCAGAGCGGGTGGGATTCAAGTTAGACGAGAGAGGGGAAATGAGTTCCGTACAGGGAGGAGGTTGGAAATAAAGCAGGACTGAGCTTGGAGGGTTTAGGAGAGCAGAGGAGAGACCTCTGTGCTCCATCGCGTCCTCATTCCCTGACCCCGGGCACAGCATCAAAGTCGTCTGAAGTGCCACACTGGGTTAGATCAATAGTCCATTCAGCACTCTATATTTGGACTGTAGCTCGGGGGGATATTTTGGGAGAGCCTCTGGTTGTTCTATTTGGGTAATCACCAATTTTTAGCTATTAGGAAGATAAATTATATGATAACCCATTATGGAATAATCATTCATGAATTTTTATTCACCCTATCTGCATCTATAGGCAAAAATCCCCCAAAAAAGACCATCTCAAAGGAATGTTCTATAATATAAAGCTGTTTCCACAGGCTCTCAGATGGCTGATAGAAAAAAAAAATTTTTTTTTTTTTTTTTATGTAAGATGCAACCCTAAAAAAAAAATCCCCAAAACTTTAGAGACAGAAAGCAGATCAGTGGTTGTCTAGAGCTGCGGTGGGAATGGGGAGTGTCTGCAAATTGGCACAAGGCGACCTTTTGTAGGATGGAAGTGCTTGAAATTTACATTACAATTTGTGGATTTCATGATATATATATATATAACGTCTCATAAAACTCTTTTTAATACCTATATAAATGCTTCCTCCAGTCCATTCCCATAAAATATTATTCTTTATAAAGGAAGACATGGCAAGGACAGACATGAGAATAGGAGGAAACTCAAAATTGTGTCACAAGAAAAGCATTTCAAGGACCTGGAATGTTCAGCCTGGGAAGGTGAGGGGAAAAGAGAAAATCTAGGGGCACCTGGTGGTACGTGAGAGAGAATGAGAGGTGCTTCATGGAATCCCAAGGAGACTGAACCAGCTGAAAAGGATGAAGGTTGCAGCTTGCTCTGAGAAGTAGGGAGCCACCCGACACTGGAAGGATTCAAGCCTAGGCCGAATGCCCCGTTGTTGGATGTTGCAGGTTTTTAAACAACGGATGAGGTCATGGAGTATCAGGGCTTTAAGGCCCTTTCTCACCCTCAGACTCTCTGATTCTATAAACTGGATGAAATGTGGGTTTTCCCCATTCATTAGGAGAACAGAATGAACATACCAGGCTTTTGCTCCTTCCCTTCCCAAAGAGCCTGACTACAAAATTGTGCAAAAAGATCCAGTAACTAAACTGGAGATCTAGACATCGACAGCTAATATTACCTTCCTCTCCCGCAGTTTTTTATTTCTTTACAGTACCTAGAGATTGAGGATCAGTTCTGTTGTATCTTTGGGTCTTAAACCCAGAAGCTTCTATCCATAGGATTCTGAGCTCCCTTTCCAGCCTTCCTTCAATGTTCCCCACAGCAAACCACCTGTTCCAGGCAAACCCACCAACACACAGCCCCCCAAACACCTTTCACATGTTCCATTCTGCATCTTTCTTCAGATCATCCCCCCTGCATACAAGCCCTCCTCTGATTCCCACACTTGCCTAAGTCCTAAGCTGCCCACAAGGCCTGGGTCCGGTTGCTTCCTGCCCCTGCCCTACAGGTGAGATGGCCTTGGAGGTATGTCCTGGGAGGGCCTCACTGCCAGCCGTCCACCAGCAAAGGCCGAAGCTGGTTATGGGAGGCTGAGGCTACAAGAGGCCTGGGATGAACTCGGAAGTGGAGACCAGGAATCCAAAATAGGTCAAAGCCAAGGAGATGATGTCTTTGGCAAAGGATTAGGGGATCCAAACAGAACACTGATTCCTTTTTTTTATTTCCTTTCGAAGTTTTAATTTATATATACTTTATATGTAATATTAAGAAGTCAATCTTGAAACAAAATAAATTATATTATCACCATTTAAATAGTTTACTTACGTAATTGTCATTTTTATTTAAGTTCGAAGGTGAATTCTGCTTTCACTCTTAATTAAAATGATGCCCTTGGGACTTAGCTGACTGTCCAGTGGTTAAGACTGCATGCTTCCACTGCCTGGGGCCCGGGTTCAATCCTTGGTCGGGGAACTAAGATCCCACATACCGTGTGGTGGCATGGCTAAAAAAAAAAGAATTAACTAATTAATAAAATAAAATGATGCCCTTTTTGAAAATGTAACGGTCACTGAAATGTCATTTCGTGATTTTAGGCAAACCAGAGAGGGGTATCTCAGTCCAAGGATTTTAGAAACTGACTTATTGAGCATTCTCCAAAAGGTATCCTCTTGGCCTTCGAGAGTTTCTATGTTCAAACTTAACAAGAAAAATTGAAAATGAAGAACCTATTTGCTGGAGGTTTTCAAAATTAGAAAATATTATAAAAATTCAGTTTATATTTTTCATAATCATTAATCTGTGGTCTATATAAAATTTTTATCTTCTTATCTTAAGATACCACTAAATAAAGGCATACCAGGCACAAAACCCACATGCAGTAAATATATAATAAGCGAAGTAAATTGATAAATGCCATTAGTTACACCATTCCTAACAACCAAAACCACCATTGCTTCCCAGCCTTTGGTGACACAGTTGTATAGCTTGTCAGATTCAAGTTCATTACATCCTTCCAAGAAATAAATGTGTCTTTTGGAGTAGAAGACTGCATCAATTTTAGGTCCAATTCCTGGAAATTTCTCAGTAATCAATATGGGATAAACAAGATCCATAATTACCTTCTCTCATTTCCCCTCCAATATCGTTTATCCACAAAGAGGCTGGTCTTGTAGATGAGTGGATGAAAGCCAGCAACTTCAATCTTGTCACAGAGTCAGGGAAACCCAGATAATGTGTGCTCTTGGTATAGCTGGCTTGTGGTTTTTAAATCACTGATTAACCAGTACTTGCAATCTTTAAAAAGAAAAACTTGACTCCTGGTTCCAATTTCATATGTGGCTTAATAGCTCAGGAAGCTTCCACCAAAAGAGCTAATCTTTAAAGAAAAAAATTTTTCTTCCAATTGTAATGATAGTATCAACCGTCAAATTGGAGCCACAGGTAGCTGGTTCCATGGTCTAAGGCTGTGACACTGCCTTTATGAGTCTTCATTGAGAGACCAAATGTCACAAATGACCTCAGCAGAGAGGCAAAATCTGTTGAGGTCAGCATAATGTAGAGGAGGAACATAGTAGCCTTTGGATGTTTGGAATGTGGCCAAACTCATGACCAGCAGCAAGAAACAAATTTATGCTTTTGCTGTGTTTAAATCCAGATTTCAGCCCTATCAAAGTGCAAGCCTCCCCCAATACCAGCTCCAGGCCCATAAGCATAGGTGATGTTTCCATCTCTGCCATCAGAAGAATTAGAGTCTCTATGAGCTCCTTGTGGGAAATATATGATAATATCAGCCTCTTCAGGGTTCTTCTGTTTGAATTGCAGGGGGTCACATCACTCCGTACTTGAGAAGCCTGGGGATGGCATAGTCAACGTCCTTCCACACCATGGAGGGTAATTCTTGATTCCGTAGGTGGCATGATGTTTTGTCCATACTGGTTTCCCCATCATTGTGCCAAACTGGTGAACACTGGGCCTCCCACATCTTGGTGTGGACATCATTGTCAGAGGAGAGGCATCCAACTGCCCAGTCACATTTGGCCCCAAGAACAAATGCCACATTTCCTGGATTTTGCCCACCACGAAGTTGCTAATGATTCTCATTTGAGCATGGGAGTTCTTTCCACCAGGAGGCCATAAAAGGTGCCCAGGTACCTTTGTGCAAACAGCACATCATTTTCTTCTAGACTTGTACTATTAGACAGAGGAACAACTCCAGAAACAGCAGCTTGAAGAACGAGAATTAAGAGGAGAAACTTCATTCCAAACTTCTCTTGAACAATTTAACCCCATGAACTTTGTTCCGTTTTAGTCTTCAGCTGGCTTTTGTTCCTGCCTTATACATATGCAGGTATTTCCACCCCCAGCATTCCTGAATGTCTCTGACACCAGATCTCAGCGAGCACTCCCTCCTCTAAATTCCTTATTATCTGTACCTCCTATTTAATGATACCTTATGTTATTACTCAACTTTTCATAAAAATGGTCTGATTTATCAACTGTATTGTCAGACCATTGAGGGAACACAAGGCAACCTGAGTGCCCAGATTTATTATTATTGTTGTTGTTGTTGATTTGTTTTTTTTTTTCATTTTATAGGCTGACATCTCCCTTCCGCCCCTCACTCTCTCCTTTGACCCTGAATCTTCAACTTCAGACCAAAAGTTTTCACAGGTGCATTCAGATGAAAATGAGGTGAGGAACAGAGAGCTACTGTTTTACCAGAAGGAAGGAAGCCCCAGAACTCGGGATCAGTGTCCACAAGTGTGGCATCACAAGTATCTCAGATCAAACTTGAGTTCTAAAACTAGGACTCTATTTACAAAAGCATATTTAGAACTTCTAGGCTTTTCTGAGCTTTTTGTTGTTAAAGCCAAGAAATGCTATGATGAGGTGTCCAGCCTACGTGTAAAAGGTTCCTTGAGAATAAAAAGACTTAACTGAAAACATTTTACTGGAAGTAATTCCACACTCTGAGTAGTATAGCTGTTATTGGTCTTACCCATTAAATGGGCAGCAGCCAAACTTTTCTCCTGCCCCTTTTATTTTTTTTTTTTTTTTTTTTTTTTTTTTTTTTCTTGCGTTATGCGGGCCTCTCACTGTCGTGGCCTCTCCCATTTGCGGAGCACAGGCTCCGGACGCGCAGGCTCAGCGGCCATGGCTCACGGGCCCAGCCGCTCCGCGGCATGTGGGATCCTCCCGAAACGGGGCACGAACCCGCGTCTCCTGCATCGGCAGGCGGACTCTCAAGCACTGCGCCACCAGGGAAGCCCTGCCCCTTTTATTAATAGGAGGACCACAGACATGTTTAGAAACAGCCCCAGTACAAGTGGAGGTGACTAGGTCCACCTAACACACACCGCCTGCCATGAAGTCCTAGAGAGGAGATTGCTTTATCTTTTATTCCGATTATTTGCTCTTGGTTTGGGCATAGAATTGTGTTTAAAAGCTTATTGGGCTTGGGCTTCCCTGGTGGCGCAGTGGTTAACAATCCGCCTGCCAATGCAGGGGACACAGGTTCGAGCCCTGGTCCGGGAAGATCCCATGTGCCCCGGAGCAACTAAGCCCGTGCGCCACAACTACTGAGCCCACATGAGCCTAGAGGCCGTGCTCCGCAACAAGAGAAGCCCGCGCACCGCAAGGAAGAGTAGCCCCTGCTCGCCGCAACTAGAGAAAGCCCATGCCCAGCACTGAAGACCTAACGCAGCCAAAAATAAACAAATTAAATAAATAAATAAGGTTATTGGGCTCAAACTCCCAATGAATTCTGGGATTCTCGTTTACATCTGGCCTCTGTCTGACCACTCCCAGTGTTGGCAGACGACTACCGGGTGAGGCCCTTCTGTCCAGTAATGCACAGCAACGGTGGTCAGGAAACATCCCACGGGCGACATGGATCTTCCCAACATTTGTCTGAAATTTCTGTCCCCCACACCAGTCTGCTTTCTTCATTGAGTGTAATGTCTTGAACTGCCAAGGCAGGTCCAGCTCTACAAGGCACAGGACCCATGTGTGTGTTATATGACTGGATAACAAAACCCAGCGGAGACAGTGTTGGAATTTATGCTGTAGCGTACCCTCTTTTTATTTCCTTCTTCCATTATTTCAGATAAGTTAAACTTACAGAGTTATACAATTGGTAAACTTACAAGGGACTTCCATCTACAACACGAATTCTCAACACGGGCCAAAAAAATCTTACTCATTTTATATGTAAAGCACAAATGTACATACAGTTCATAAACAGATATACAGTATATCTGGTGGTATGAAAAGTTTATGGGAAAGGGCAGTTAGCAAAAATATATCTTTAAAAGGGTTCCTTAGGGGTGAGACAGTGAAAAAAACGTTGAGAGACACCGACAGACCAGTGTTTCAGTGTTTTCAGATCAAGTAAATCAGAATCTAGGCACAGGATCCAAGCAACACTATTTTTTTTTTTCTTTTGACCGCGCTGCGTGGCTTGAGGGATCTTAGTTCCCCAACCAGGGATTGAACCTGGGCCTCCGGCAGTGAACATACCAAGTACTAACCACTGGACCGCCAGGGAATCCCCAACGCTATTTTTTAAACTATTTTAAAATTTTTAATGAATGAATGAATGAATTTTATTTATTGACGTATATTTGATTTACAATGTTGTGTTAGTTTCAGGTATACAGCAAATTGATTCAGTTATACATATACATATCTATTCTTTTCCAGATTTTTTTCCCTTATAGGTTATTACAAAATATTGAATGTAGTTCCCTGTGCCATCCAGTAGAACTTTGTTGGTTATCTGTTTTATATATAGTAGTGTGTATATATTAATCCCAAACTCCTAATTTATCCCTCCCTCCTAAACTATTTTTCTAATGCGGTAGAAAAATCCACAGCCAGGATTGCGAACCACTGACCCAGATCAACCCCCTCTTATTCCCTGGGGCAACTGAGAACCAAAAAGGAGAAATAACCAAACCAGACAGCCGTAAGTCCCTCTTGACAGCTATGCCAACGTTGTTTTCAACATGCTATAGTGTCTTTTTCAACTTTGATTCTACAGTTTGATTATGCGTTATTACATATTAGCCTGTTGACAGTTTGGTCCATGTTTTACACCAAACTTTATCCTGGCAGTTTGAGTAGTGATTTATGGTTTTTTGTAAAAATTGAAAATATACTCCATGCATATGGTTTCGTAAACTTCAAATACAAAACGTACCTTATGAAAACTGAGTGTCTCTCTCTCAACCCTTACTTCAGTCTCCCAGTCACCGACCCCCTTCCCCAGATGCACGTTCTGTGCCAGGTCTCTTGAGTGTCTGTCCGACAGATTTCTGTGCCTCCTTCTATCCCCTTTAAGTAATGCAAGCGCTTGATAATTATACAGGAAAGAATAAAGCTCAAATCAGAGTGCCCAAGCATCTTTACTTCTCTTTCTCAGGGTTTGGTAATGACAAGTACACATCCTTCCCCAGGAGTGAAAATAACATCATTTTGAAGAGCACCACGATTATACTTTCATTTTATACCGAATCTGCCTACACCAGAAATGTCCCAGCTATAAAATAGGACCACAACAGGCTGTCTCATGGTCCTGCTGTAAGGCAGCAGTCGTGGTTAAGTTACCCAGGATTTCACAGAACAATCGACGTATCAAGAGAAAACAAACAAACAAACAAAAAACTTTGCCTATCACAGATTTCCTTTCCTTTCTTTTCTTTTTTGTTTTCTGTTCTAAAAGCAAATTGCTTTAAGCACAGACTAATCAAATCCTGTATAACAAATATATACAGTAAACTGTAAAGGACATGGTGGTCTTTCAAATGCATACAAGCATATAGTACCCTTGCTGGATAATTTGGATTGTTTGACTATTGATTCCTCACTTTCATAAGGAGATTTTTTTTCTTTTTAATAGAGCATCTTTGTGTTTTCCTTACCAGGACATTCCTGTTGTCCCAAAAGTGACCCGAGGCAGTGACAGGCAACCATCTATAGACTCTTATTCTAGGCTGATGACTAATCTCCAAAATCCTGCTTCTTTTCTCCACCCAGCCTCCAACTCTGAAGTGTTACCCTAAGGAGAAAAGCCATTTTATTTCTCTGGAAAGATAAATTTTAAAGAACTGTTCTCTTGAAATGTATCCCTACCCAGAACATGCTGACATAGAAGTGATAACAGTTAAATTTAGTTAGCTCTTTCTCAAATCAAAGAATACTCAAGTTGAGAGGAAAAACAGAGCTCATGCTAGCCCGCTATTTCATTTTACAGAGAAGGTAGCTGAAGATGAAGGAGGTTAGCTGGTTTGTCCAAGGTTACGTGGGAAAACTCACTTCTTTTTCTTAGTAAATAGTTACTAGGTGCCTACCATGTGTCCAGCATGGCCCAAGCTCTGGGGCGCAGCAACCGATAGGTTCCATCAGGAGCATGTGAATGGCAGTGCCGAGGCTAGAATTCAGGTTCTGTCCTCCTCCCCCCTCCATCGCAGCCCCCTCGGGGGGGCCCTCTGGCCTGGCCTCCTCAGAGGATCAGCATTCAGAGGGATCAAAATAAGACAATTTCCAGGAAGATGGAGCCTCATTTTTCTCAGTCCCTTCTGGCAGGAATTGAAGGACATTTGGGAGGAAGCCAGGGACATGAATGTGTCCTTGTTTGTGGTGATAATGCCGTGTCCCAGAGGCCATAGGACACAGGCCTTGGGTGGTTTTAGAGAGAGCCCTCCCATGGTCACGCACCCCCTTTGTGAATAAAGAGGAGGGCAGGGCTAGAAGTGGCTATGTTGCCCACGGAACACACACCAAGCTGACCTACTCAGGGATTACAACCAAGACGCTGTCTCCCCTAGAACAGCGCTGGAGACAATTCAGTCACAAACAGAACAGCCCTGCAATCTGACTTTCAACCAACGACTCACTTGTTTCTGAAATGTCTATTTATTTTAGCTTCATGACTTAACAGGAATAGTATGAGGTAAGATGACATGAATCACTTAGAGCCTTACAGATGGTGAAGTACCAGCCTTGACAAGAAAAATAAAACAAATCATACAGACAGGCACAAGGCATGCATGTGAGCGCATGCATACTCACACGTACACGCACATAGGCACACATGCACACAGACGCACACACGCTCAGCTAAAACTCATCCTTACAAAAATAAAATCTGACAAGAGGAAACTTCACGGGACATTGACTGAAACACCTCTATGAATGAGTATTCATTTTGTTAAAAACATTTCAAATAAAGGAATAAACCTTAAGGACATTATACTAA